TTATAATTAATTTTTATAATTATTAATTTAATAAATATCGTAATTCATTTTACAATAGAAAATATTTGCGTGTATTACATATAATATGTGGAAAGAAATTAATATGCTCTCTCTTTCTCATTTTACAATATTGAAACATGTCAAATATTAAAGCAATATGACGTAATGTGATATTTTTAAATTTCGATTACTTAGAATTCATAGTCCAGAAATATAAAATCCAACATATCAAAAGATCTTTATCAAAAGATCTCATGATAATTTTCACAATCGTATAATAATGATAACATAAATTACTACTTTTGATTGCAACAAGATGAATGCTACATTAAAAATAATTTATGTTATCGTAATTTTATTGTTATTATCGTCGTGTAGATTAATTTGCTAAATAATTGATTAGTTTCATGATTTGAAAAAAAGATAGACGATACTCGGTTACTCAATTTTGATCAAATCAACTTGTGTACAAATGCTAACTGATTCGAAGCAGATTTATATCGTGACCTTCTTTAAAAAAGATGTTTCTACGCGTTTAAATATTTCCTTCGAACTAAACGCGATTGTTGTAAACATACAATTACTGTAAACGTACAATTATTCTCACAAGTCTGCAAATTTAATTAAATTTTATTCTCCGCATTCCGTTAACAAGTAATACGAAATCACAATGCAATACAATTACACTACACATTTAGAAAAAAGAGAGTATTACAAAAAAATAAAACATTTCAGATATAAACAAAAATAAATTGCAATTTTTTTAGATTTTTATTTCACAGTAAACTATTATTATAGAAACATATAATACATCTGGATGTTCTTGTATTCGCAGCATATTGTCGAATTTTATATTATTATTTTCGCAAGAAAAATTATTATTTTTAAAATATTGACTTGTCTTTTACCAATCTAATTACCATTAACTAATATTATATTATGAGTTTTCTATCATCATTAAACTAGAAAGGAATGTTCTTCTACATTATATTTTTTTATATTTGATTTGTTTAAAAAGAAGATCTGAAAAAGAATTAAAAACGATCTCTTGTAATTTTGTTTTGTGATGTATTATATACAATATCGTCTTTATGAAATTTCCTTGTCTTTAAGAAGAGTAAGAATAAAAATAAAAAAATATGTTCATTATAAAATTTTATCTTTCATCACCATTCATATCATTTTTTATTATCTTTCATCATCTTTCATATCATTTTTATTAGAGCTTATATACTATATGATGATATAAAATATTTTTTTAGAAAATAATTTTTGTAATGAAAAAAATTAGACTCTTAATTCATTAGATTTTACTAAAAGTAGTGTTTTAGGACATCTTATGTAAATATGTTTTTATAAAAGTTCTAATCTATTTTATTTCCCGAAGATTAATCAGAAGCATTTTAAGCACGTGACTATCACGCCGTTTCAAAGTTGTTATTGTCGTTACACTGCTTGACATAATCGCAGATGAGTATTAATCGTGAGACGTCTTAATTGACATGTGAACTTAAATGTAAAATAAGGACGCACAATCTATCATTTCGTTTGCTCATCTATCCTTGTTGAAAATTTAAGTAGCAATAAGCAGTATCGCAAATTACGAAAACAGACCAATTATTTTCTCATTAAAAAAAAAACCAGTTTTTATTTTTTTATACAGTAAGACATTTTTGTATCAAACTTGCAAACTTCTCGAATTATCTGTTATTTTTTGGATTATTGATATGATTTTTTTATATTAATTTTATTATTCTTAAAGCTCAAAATATTTTAATATCGATTTTTTTTGGGAAGTAGAAAAATTGGAAGAAAAGCCACAATTTTCCATTAGGTCGCACAAATTGAGAAAGTCATAATATTATAATATAAAATTCAATCATTAATTTTCCCATAAAAAATGCAAATATGTATTCTCTCTTTTTTTCTCATGATACTTTATATGAATAACAGTTCAGAAATTGTTTATGACGAGATACGACCCTGTTCTCTCGACTAATTTATTAAAGTTGATATATAAATGTACAAGCTGTTTGCGCGAAACATCTGGAAGCGTATTGCTATCGAGTTAAAATTAACGCAATACCTTCAATAAAGTAGCTGATAAACTTCGAAAAACTTCCTAGCATGACTAAAGAACGATCGATTGACAATGTGACACTTTTATGTCTGTCCGTATAAAAGGAACAAATGTCAAAAGCACGATAAGCTTGTGACGATAGTACAATTTTTGCATATAAATAAATTACTTGGCTCTTCTTCCACGTGCGTGCAAAAACATAGAAATACCGTAAAATTCGAAATTTTACGGCTCATTCTTTTTCTTCCACAGACTGAGAGAAGATTTATTTAATATCATTAACGTGCATTTATTTGCAGAGATTTTTAAATTTTATTTTGCAAAGGCTCTTAAAAGTTAGAATAACATTACTTGGTGAAATAAGACAACTGTTGATTAATAACAAATATATACATGCATGGAAATTGAAATTCTTCCAGTGATGGGATCAGAGGTTATCGAAATCACTTTTTTATCTCATTATTTTTTTTTACATAAATCTCTTTTTTACAGAGAACAAGTTTACTTGATAATGGTCAACAATATTGACAAACGGCGTCTTTCTTGAGCACGATTTTTCCATAATCAGTCTATAGAGATAATATACAATGAAAATGGTGAGGCAATTTGTATAATAATGCTACCTGATATTCTTATTATGTACGTGATGTAAATGCGTTTATATTCATTTATGACGTGATTCGCATTATTTTTGTAACACGAATAGATCGGAAGATTGTTTTTTTTTTTTTTTTTTTATTTTTATTTAACATTATTCGGATTTTCTTCGAAAATTTAATACTCAGTTAAAATCTATAATGTCAGAGTGTGTAATAATAAAAGTTTCTTGCAATCTATATAAACTCGACGAAACTCGGACACAACTTTATTACAGTAAAACTAAATCGATTTCGGAAGTCACGTTGATTGAGAAAATAAATTAAACAGGAATATTATAAATGATGTAAATATCTGAGAATAATATGCGATATATTTTTCATCTACATATAAAGCGATATTCAGGGATGCATTCAGATCCCTCTCGTTCATTTGTAATGTATTCTTTGAATATTATCGAATGTAAGCATAATCATGGATTTTATTGATCATTGAATAATTGATGTTTTATATCTTTCACATCTCTGCATCTTCAGGTTGCATTGAACAATGAGTATAGTTATCAGAAATACTTTATCATTGCAGATAATAACACAATCTCATACCGAGAATTATCAAATTATGCCAATTTGATAGATGATAGTATAAAGTAATATAAGTAAGAATGGTGTATAAAACTGTAATCACAAGAGCAGGAAGATATATGTAAAAAAATTTTATCGAGTTTCTCATCTTGTAGCCCAATCTACGAATTATTCAGAATTATTGGTGATTGGTTTCTCGATAATTTGACGTACGATAGTATCGTGTTTTACACACATGAATGATAGCACGAATTCACGTTAATTGCAATTAGTGAGAGAATTGTGAAAATTGGTCGTAACTTTGTGGCATTCTCGAAAATTGGCTTGATTAATCTCGTTGCTATTTTTATGCATGTATATTATTATTTCTTATTTTTCTTTATTAATGAAAATTTTATTATAGAGTGAAAAGATGTATATGTTACATATTTAAAATATATATTGACCTAATTATGTTCTAATGTGAAATCAATCAAAATAATTAAGAGAGTAAAATTAAACAAGATTATAAAATAAATATTCACTTTTTTAATAATTTTACGTAATAATTATGTAATTTAATTATCTTTTAATTTGTCTATAATTTTATAGCAGTTTAGATAGTTTATTTTGACAGTCTTGTTTACTCTATTTTAGTCCTTATTATTATCTTCACAGATCTATACCTTTTAGCAACAATCTGCGTTTATATGTCAATTTTCGGATTAAATGTCTATGATTTCGGGACAGAGGTGGAGTTCAATCGCTATGGATATAGGATTTAGCCGTTCGTAATAGCAGCTTCTATGGTTCCGGTTTCCCTACAATCGAACTTGTATCGATGCACCGCGTGGAATTTTCATTCTCTCTCACGCGTGTATCGCATTATCGTGCGCGATGCAAAGCAAAGTCACTTCATGATGTGATGGGAACAAAAGTAATTCAATATCGGCACACATTTCACGTGGTGCGGTCTCCCACGTTAGTAATTATCTAGCAATTCACTCGAATAAACGCGACACCCACTGCGGTTACGTGTTACGTGAGATCATGTTAACAAAGTACAACACGACACACAATTAGATGTGCCCTAAATGTGCTTAGATGCTAGCTAAACTGAGGAGGTCAGAAGCAGAAGGGATGTTCAGAGTCCTCTTGCTAATTAAATATATTTTCTCAAGTTTATAAGAAGTGAAAATTGTTGCGTAGAATCTTGCAATTTTTCAGGATTTTAAATCGAGATAATAAAATTTCAGATTAAAATATTTTATTATTTAATAAATATATTATTATATATATATAAATTATTGTAAGAAACGATGATGGCTGCTTATCAATTATATATATGGTATACTTGATTAGAAATTGATATTATATTGTTACAATTAACCGTTACGACAATTATAACAATTTGTTTTAATATTCTTCTTGATCCTAATAGACTTTCAAAAAATATTTAAATGTTTTATAGATTGTATCTAACAACAAAGGAAAAAAATTACATGCATGTTATAAAATAATTTTTTTATTCTAATCGACATTATATAGGAGAATTTTCACACGTAATTTGTGCGTTTATATAAATGACAGAGCACAGCATCCCCATTTGTGCCATGATCACTTTTCGATCATGAAATTGTCATTGTTGGAGATGATGTTGCTTTTTACCTCCTCAATTAGAATTAGCGATGGATATATGTATCATTGTCGAAAATTGTATTCGGCGACATGTTAATTAATGACGTAACGAATTTTCGCAGGTACTGTCTATGAGCGAGGAAGTGAGGCGAGTCCTCTACGCGAACAGTGCCATCTCCTTAGACAACGATGTCATCGTGCCTGATCTCATCGGTACGACGGAAATACTCAGCGAGGAGCACAGGGAACAGCTCTGTCGTCATCTGCCCGCCAGGGCAGAGGGTTATCAATGGACTCTCGTCTTCAGCACCAGCCAGCATGGCTTCAGTCTCAACAGCATGTATCGAAAAATGGCAAAGATCGAGAGTCCGATCTTGTTAGTTATCGAGGACACCGAAGGCAATGTGAGTATTTTATTTGCCAATTGAAATGGAGTGGACTTATCAATTTAAGCCGATTGGTTTTAATTTGATCTTAGCTTTTAAAAATCAATCTTGGTAGAAAAGTTAAACATAAAGTATGCTTACAATATTTTACCAGCATTTATTTGTATACTTTTATATTTTATGTTATAATAGCGTTGTAACGCGCGCATGTATAATAATATTCTGTCATATACTAGAAAGACATTGTTCGCAATATTTTTTATTTAATGAAAATAATTTCTCGTATTTGTATCAAAAAGATTATAGTAAAAATTAATTATATACGTAGAGAGAATCGACACCTTTAGAGTGTTTAATGAAATATAGAAACAAACTAAGCCGAGTTTAATTAGAAAGTTCTGCACAGTCGTCATAATTAACTTAAACGAAACATTAACATGCATTCACACACACTAAGTTGTTTGCGCATTTACTCGCTTCGTGAACGAATTGGTTTTCCACTGACTCGTTTGCTCGAGCTCTTTATACAAAAGCAACAAATGTACAATGTAATCATATGATATTTTTTCTTCAATTTTACACCACATGTCACACTTTATGTTATTACAGGTGTTCGGTGCATTAACCTCGTGCGCCTTACACGTAAGCGATCACTTTTATGGCACCGGCGAGTCCCTTCTCTTCAGGTTTTCGCCAAAGTTCCAGTGTTTCAACTGGAGCGGCGACAATCTATACTTCATCAAAGGCAACAACGAGAGCTTAGCAATCGGTGCCGGAGAGTAAGTATTTTTCATTTTTTTCTCACTTTTTTTCTCTTCTATTGAGAATTTCATAGAGTTAATTGTTTATGGTTTTCTTTAGTGGCAAATTCGGACTCTGGTTGGACGGTGACCTGTATCAAGGCAGAACGCAGGCCTGCAGTACCTACGGCAACGAACCGTTAGCGCCGCGCGAAGACTTTGTCGTCAAGACACTGGAATGTTGGGCATTCATATAGGACACGGCCTCATACCCTCAGCCTGTCGCTCCTTCGCCCTCACCGCAGCCTAATTTAACCTGAACTCGTGAGTCTCACGAAGGTTTCGCTCCCCCTCCCCTTGTCTAGGAGAGATTAGAGGAAGACTAATGATTCTAAGAGATTGTCAGGCAAGTTAAATCGTATCGATACCGATATGTTGCCACGATACCGATTACCTCGATCGTCATTTGGGAAACCCTCGCCCAATGTTAGACAGGATGATGATTCTCCCAGAAGAAAAGAATGAATCGTCAGTGTCGGCATGAAGGGACAACGATGACATTACCTGAAGATGGTGAAATTGACGAGAAGCAGCCTCGAAAGGGATGCGGACGGTAAAAAGAAAGAGGCTGTCATCCGAAATTATATGCGATCGTAGCGCGTGCCATTAACACGCGGACATAGATACACCACATAGCTACTGATTATCGTTAATTGTCCCTCACTCCTCTATCTTTTTTAGTTGGCGTATTTATTCTATTTTTTATATTCTATTTGAATGATCTTCGCTCGTTAATTTGATTTTGTAAGTTGGCCGAGAGTCGAAGAATTATGATTACTTTATACTGATAATCGTTACTTCGAACTAGTCGTGAGTTTATGACACCTCTAACGCCGATATAAAGATAATTATGATGATAAAGATGATGGTGATGATGATGGTGATAATTAAGCTGATAATGATGATGATGATACTGCAGATGATTATAATATAATGATGATGATGATGATGAAAGAATGAAAGTGTGAGTGATTGAAAACAATATGGATGGTAAATGTGCGAGACGAGATATATAATGTTTGAAAGAAAATAATTTACGATTCAATACGATGAAAATGCTAAAAACTAACAGTTTGTTGATGTGTAGATAATGTAGATAGTAAATGTAAATATAAATATATATATAATATATATATACACATATATATTATATATATACACTATGATTGTATTGCTATGATTGATTTCGACGGTAGTAGAGAGAACTCTTTGCCGAACACTGTGTAGCTCGTCATGTATAAAGCAGATCTTTATTAACACGAAGTACACAATACGCATATATACATATTACATGCATACACATGGGGATTGATACACAGATTACGGGAAGCGTGCTCTCGCGCAATCGGATGATTTATGATCTGAGAATATAAAGTAGTCTTAGTACAGAAAGAGATACCTCGTGCTAATCTTAACAATTATGAGAGAAAACCTAGGAGAAACCGGCGGACAAGAAATCAATGATGTGCGAGTTGAATCGAGTCGGAGCGTATTCGTGAATCTTTTATCGTCAGTAATTAGTAAATGTGCTTTGGAGTCACGAGTGACTTACAACGAACACACATGCCTGTGCCTGCTTCGCTCTCTTTGTCTCCCTCCGTCAAACGTACACGCGATTACTGAAGCGAGTACTTCCGAGCATGAGTTCATCTTACTACCAGCGTACGAATTCCCTGTAATGTAACAAAAAAAAAACAACCAATCATTATAGAGATAGCGCATCTCAAACGGATGAAGAATCGTCGCGTTCTATCGCGCTCCTTTAAATTTAGACTGACTTTGTACACACATACACACTCGCACACACAATCGTACACTGTCCGAGCTTATAATCTCTATCGCGCGAGTATCGTGAGGAAGTGTGAGCGTTTTTCGAGATAATCGAAACATCATGTGTATACTCGCTCGTCATTATTTAGCGCGCGCCTCGTCGATCTGCAAAGAGAGAAGGAAATAAAATTTTGTACACGCGCGAGATCGGACGAACTCTCCTAGAACGTTAAGTCACAAGCATTGTGCTGAGTTGAGAAACCATTTGTTTGAAGGATGGCCGATTTTGGCGCGTGCCACGTCGTGATCCGCTTCGCGACAATCTTGAATGAAAATCACGACACGTTTTATACCACGTAGACTTAATAACGATACCGCCATATCTCTCTCTCCCCCCTCCTATAATTACTCTAGATACAATTTGTACTTCGCGGTCACGCGTTGTGTCGTTTCTATATACTTCGGATTTCGGAATCTTCGTAATCTTAACAAAAGGCGTTTCTCTGTTGGTTGATTGCCGTGTGACAGGGGCGCTTAACGACGACCAAGAGTGCTTATTATACTAAACAACACATGTGAGCACAATAAAATACAAAACTTTTGATCTATCTTTACCTATTTCTCTCTCTCACACATACACATACACATATACCTTTTCTCCCGATGTAACGCCATCGAAGAACTGAGTTCGAAAGACTGAACAGCCGATCGAAAGAAGGATAATCCAAGTGTTTGCGCACTGGTTACAAGACGCACTAAAAGAAGAGAACCGGAAAGGATTTAATCAAAGCTGTCGATTGAACGGAGCACTTGTCTGACGAGTCTAATTTTTCATATTGCCGTGAAATAAATATGAGATGTAGATGTTAAAAAAGTAAACTAAATATGCCAATCAAATCGTGAGAGAGAGTCCACAATAAACACAGATATCATTTCTCGCGTTACGCGAGATCTAACGAAATCTCGATTTCATCGAGATTACAATCTCGGTTTTTGATCCTCGCCAGCTCGACGAAGCACAAACAGGATATATATTATACGGCTTATTAGGGTGATAATTTCGAATCTTAATCTGTATTTTAACGTGCGACACACGATAACACATTATATACGATTAGCGTTGCTTAGAGTGTTAATTAAGTTTAGGCGTAATCTTGTGATATTAAGTAAAAAAAAAGGAAAAAAAGAATTGCGCTTTGATAGATGATTTGTTGAATCGCTTCGATGGTATCATTCAATTGCACGTGCGACATCGTGTGCACACACACATACAAACATTCATATCCCTCGAGATAGAAGTCCTTCCTCTTCTGCTTCCTTGACCGCGAAGCGCGCGTGCAACAGCGAAAATATTGCTCGAGGAATCGAATATTTTTTTTCACCGGGGATTTAAAAGAGCGCGAAAAGGCTAATAGTATTGTTACATACGCGAAAGCAAGAAAAAGCGAAGTATATATATTTGTGACGACAGATAAGGATAAGCCAAATGAGATGCTTGAGAGAAAAAAAAGTATTCACGTGACCCTCGTCTTAATGTAAAAAATTAAGATGTCAATGTGCATTGTAAAGAAAAAAATAAAACTAAGCATGTCTAAGGGAAATAAACTTTCTGTTAATTATTTCTTTTTTTATTTCACACGCGTCTTTTTTTTTTTTTTTTTTTTTTTTTATTGGTTCGTGATGTCGAGTCGTAACATATGCACAACCATTGTAATGTGTGCGCGAGATCTTTTGGTCCGAGATGAGTCCATCATATGTCATGAAGTTTTTAAGAGTTAGAAAAGAAATGATAAAAAAAATATCTATAAAATTTTACTTTACACTCTCAGATATATCGGATAATGTTTGTTAATCACTAGCCGTATTAGTGTGTTTAATCGTGTGCCATTATTGCCAACACGCGTATCGATATTGCCATGTATCAATGTAAGTGGCACTCCTCGAGTGAGATCTGATACTTTTTCTCTTCCACGAAGCGTCTCTTGTATATCGAATTTAAAAATACGCGACAAATAGAGCTATATGAAGAAACAGGCGGTATTACCTCTGTAGAAGTAAATTAAAATGTATCCAGTGGCGGATTATTAGACATGATAATTGTCTATAAACTAGTATAAGATCTCACAAGTACATACAATTAATAAATTTATACTCGTGAATAATTTAATTTCATAAACGAAAAATTTTTACTCTGTGTGATTTTTTTTTAATAATACATAATTTAATGTTACGTATGTAAAATTTGTTATATATAAGAGAATCATTAAGATCTTTGAATATCATGCAGCAGAGATGTTTGTTGATCCGCCACTGAATGTGTACCAAACGGGACTTTAAAAACGCTAACTATAACTGCGAAAGATTTTGGCATTTCCCACATTGTATACATATGTATTTTGCTTACATTTCTAAAGCATTCTCTTGCGAGAAATCGCGTTAAGGATTATGCAATTTTGCTGTGTATCTTCTAATAGCAAACGATACTGTTTCATTGAATTGAACAATGTGACGAATTTATGCCTAAGAGAAATGTTACAAGCGCATATTATGCACTTTCTTTTCGTAAACACATTCATTGTCAGATGAATTATTGTTATAAAAAATATTTTAGAGGTGAAATATATGCGCGTCATTTAATTTGCTTGGAATAGTAAAAAGAAGAAAAAATTGTTATGTATTTTAAGAGATAGGGCACATTCATGCTTCTATGTCCAAATTGCAAAATGATTACTGTTTGTATTAGCCTGATACACAACTATATATAGAGTGTTCCATTTCGCTCACCATCTTATTTATTTTCAATAATGGAATTAAAAGTATTTTTATACAATAAAGATTTAATGAAAAATTTAATTGTAGATATTAAAAAATTTTGAATTGTAGATATTAAAAATTTTTAAAAATCATAAAGTATCAGGTATATAAACAGATACCGCATATCAAATGTTCTATTTTTTTTTAATGTGCAATTTTAATATAAAGTTACGAAGAAATATTTAGATCTTTTAAAGTTTTTCTATGAAAAAAATATTGTTAGATCGGTTCTTTTTAAATTGTATATTTTTTCTCTCTATGAGATATCCTTTGCAATTAAAATGGAAGAAAAATATATAAAAAATAGAAAAGAAAAATGGTATGTGAATGTCAATCAGTTTTTGTGATAATAATGGAACACTCCGAATATATTTATACTCTATAAAATTATACGAATGTAGAGTTTACTTAGAGTACATATAAGATCCATAGATATGAGAGACTAGCGGGATTCTTCACACGCTAAAAATCGTACGCTCGGTATCGGCATAAGAAATAATTATCTACTTATCTAAAAAAAACACACATGTAGTCGATAATAGCGGTCGTTAGTAAACTAATGGCAAGAAAAAAAAGAGATTGAAGATAGAAAAGAGAAGGGAGGGACAAACTCAAGCAAGCAGCACAACAAGGAGACACATACCCTCGGTATACACATTGTCAATTAGATTCAGACTGACTGCAGGGAGACTTGAACACGCATAAACAGTTCGATGTTCTTCGATGTTTAGCTAGATAAAATTGTCGTCCTCGTTAAAATGAGCACGTCATTGAGAACACGAGTCGACGCATCTAACACGGGCCAGTGGCATAAACGTGGAGTGATTAGCGGCTAATGGGACCCATTTGACACATTAAAAAAATATTCTAATATATATATACATATATATATTATCAATTAACAGAGAGAGAGAGAGAGAGAGAGAGAAAGTGAGAAAATAGAGAGCATCAGAGTTTGTTTGTTTAAGATAAAACACAAGCCAATGGTTGGTCTTAACGCAGGAGTCAGCGCACAAGCTACTTTGGTCTCGTTATGGAACCACATAATTAACGCTGTGTATGCTACGTTATCGATGTGTGCGTCTATTCTACAATTATGCACAGCTACTTGTAAAGAGGAGCTCGTGTTTCTTGTTGAGAAATTCTGAATGTTTTCAACCGATGCTTTGGGGAAAAATTCTATTGCGTTTGCTTTGCGCTGTCGTGTGTGAACAGCTATCGTAAAAATTAATTGAAGTTAACTGAGATTTAACTGCGTGTGCGATTTATTATTATTTTTTTCTTTCCCTCCGTCTTTAGGAAGGGGCAGAGAAGGTCGGCTTAAACGTCAGTTAACTTTAACTAATGTTTAGCGAAACGATTCCCTGTTGCATAAATGTTTAATCGGCTGTTAATGTAGACAGATATTCGTAGAACTGTTCTTATATACGATCAGGCAGCTGTTTGGTTCACAATAACAAAAATTCGCATAATTGATGTGACGTTCGTAGCGGTTTCTGTGTTGAAATCCCAAGTTCTAGTGACAAGCTAGCTAGCGCAGCGAAATTTTGTTGTAAAACCAGAAATATAGACAGAGCAGAGTTTTATTGAACTCGATGGCTATGTTCCAAGATATGCATGAGCATTTTCGATGTAAGGAAATTTCCAGTACAACAATATCAGCTCACAGAGATTTTCGACGCGGTGCGTTGTAACGAGATCTCACTGTATGTTATGAAAGGGAGCGACATATGCTCGGCGCGACTAGTAAAACTTGTATTAAAAATCAATTTTGCGAGACAAGGGGAATTACGGTTTTGTAAAATCCAAAACAATGTGATATATCCGCTGGAAAGGAGAAGAATTTTACGCCAATGTACATACATAAATCCAATTAAATATCATGTCTCGTGTATAGGTAATCGCTGGAAATCGCGTTTACGATAGTAATCCAATTGTTGTTTTGCGTTGTTTTTGGATTGAGAGAGAAAAGAAGGAATCGTGCGGCATTTCTTTCGACTATCAATTGTATGTACAATATGCTGAAACAAGTGTTGAAATACTATCTATTACAAATGTTGATGAAAGAAATCGAGAAAGCGGATATCTGGTACACAAAAGCAGTTCTTTGATATATATTTAATTTAAACGCGGATTATAAGTGCAGAGAAGCAATAGTGAATCTTTCTTTATATCCCTAGCGCCGAGAAAGTTCGCATAGAACCAGAGATTCAGGATAGATATTTATGATATAAAAAAGAAAAATGCAAAATATGTAACACCATATTTCTGAGACTATCTTTTTATTTCCCATTTCCATCTGACAAGTCTCCCTCGCTTCTTATAAAACTCTATGCGATTAATATTATTTTTAATGCTAATTAAAGCTTTTTAAATTAGGTAAAATTTTACAGAAAATAATATTATCAATATGTAATATATAAAAATTAGAGACATTGAATTATATTTTTATACAAATACTAAAATGTTCCAATATTAAATTGTACATGTATGAATATTTCATTAACATTTTGCTTTCATATTTTATTTATAACATATTAATAGCATAATATATTAAAAATATCCTACTTAATATTAAATATTTTAGCTTAACTCGATTGAAAAATAGTGATATTACTTTAAAACTGATATTACATTACTTTATTTATAAATAATTAAGCTTCTAATTCTATATTTTAGATATAGACAATTTCAGATGAAAATTAAAACATTGTGAATATTTACTATACTAAAGCAACAATAATAATAGCGATAAAAAGTATAAGTATCACAATCCAATAACCACATGTACGGTCTTTGGAATGAATAGTACGGACCTGCTGGGTCTTATTGATCAAAGATTCATCAGTTCTATCCATATGATCAGCCAGATCATCAATTATTTCTATATTATAGTGGAAATAAGTTTACAGAGAATTTGTTTTTATATAAAAAAATATCTCCATACAAAATCTATTATTACTCACCATTTTGATGATCCACTTCGTTGCTAATAGTTTGTCCAATCTCTTTTTGACGAGCAATTACTTTACATAACTCCTCTAAACCTTTGTCTTGTTCTATAAGAAATTAAACAATGTAAATTATAAAAATAAGTATATAGTGACTTTTTGTTCTTTAAAATTATTATTTACCTCTCAATATTCGCTCCTGATGAGTCATAATATCACTAACAGATACTTGTACATCTAACGGTTTATCATCGTCCTCATCATCATCAGCAGCCCAAGAAGTTGTACCACCATCAGCAAAAGCTGATGAATTTGCTCTTAATAAATTAGCACGAGATGATGCATAATCATGTGTGTGTGGTTCATACAATTTTTGCAACTGAATGTCCTTACTTTGTAATTGTTCCACTTGCCTTGTCCTACGTTCAGCTTCCTCAAATGTTCTATTATGTGTTTGTATTATAAGAAATTTATCAATTCAAAATTATTTCAAAACAGTCTAAAGTGTACAAATATTAATATGTACATATAACATATAGAAATAAAAGGATACATTGTTCTTAACTTGAATGCTTCATCCACTTTGCTTTTTAATTGCTGAACTTCCCGTGTATATTGCTTCATACGCAATCTGACATTGGCAGACAAGCTGGCATAAATCTTTGATGCCTTTGGTTCTCCTTCGCGCAGAGTAAGCTGTTCCATAATCTCACGGAACAACTTTTCACATGCATCATATTCCGTAAGCCTGACACAGAAATCAAATTTTTAAATGCAGAATTATTAAATTAAAATGATTAATATATATAACTAATTATAAAATATTTAGAGATATAATATTATCATTTGAAACTTTGGCAAAAAAATGACAGATTTTAAATAATCAAATATATGTAAGAATAATATATAAACCACATAATTTATAAATTACCAAGGGTCGATTCCTTCGATATTGACGAGTGCCATTGTCGGAAATATATTTTGACGTAAATGCAGCTGTATTATTAATTCACAGAATGTATTCACAGAATATTTACAAGAGGCAGGTGGTTGAAAGAAACGTTATCTTCTTGATAAACGATAAATGCATTATTGCTACATTATTTTGAGATAGCAATATTAAAAAACAATAATAATAGATGTAATAAGAATTTCTACGTTATATGACACAATATAATACAGCACAATTTTGTAAGTAATAAGACGTAGATATTTGACGTTTTACTGGCTTTGACGTTTAAATAACCTGAAAATCATACTGTGATACTGTCAAACGTCTCACAATCTTTACATCAACACGGAATAGGTCGACTTATCGATATACTCTCGATATGCGATATATCGATTGCTCGATATTATTTAAATTCAAATTCAATTTTGTATGTGCTATAAATATTACTGCTCTTTATTTATTCTGGATCAAATTTAAAATTTTTACATTATGAATGATTGTGAAAAATGGTAAAACTACATATATCCAGATAGCCACAGTAATTATATATAATATCATTTTAATACCAAAACATTATTTGACGTAAAAATATACCATTTTCCCATCAAAATGACATAATATTTGACGTCAAAATTACTACTTTTGCTATCTGCGTGTATATATATATATATGTAAAATTATTATTATTATCGGTATATGCATTTATTTTATTTTATTTTGCAACACGTGTATTATTATTTCATTTCTTTTTTTAAATCAATTATTGTTAAATAATTATAATTTTTTAATTGACGAAATTTTTTGCCGCGAACAATTGTAGTATTTTTATTTTTTGCACTCTTCTGGGTTTTTTATTTCCTGGATAATGATATGGAATAGTCACTCTGTTATCATTTACAAAGTAGTAATTGAACTTTTCCATAATTCGCTCGATAAGCGTTCTCGTTGTCGTTTCTTTTTTATCACGTCTTCTTCTTAGGCATGATTGTACGTCTCGTGGTTTCGCTGTTTCCGCCACCTGAATTTGAATGTCGGATGTCTGCACAGATGAGTGAACTGTGAATGACAGGAATTGAAAAAAACTAAAAAAAAAATTAATAATATGTGTATGACTCGAAAAGCAATAAAATAATTATATTTTAAATTTATTAATATGAATCTTAATATAATATTAATATTAATTATTATATATTGTGAACAATTATATAATTATATTATATAATATTTATCATATACATGAACAATTATATTGTATAATCACTATTTACTTGAATTATCTTTACTTTCGGATAGCCGCATGCTCGATCTCTCACCAGTTATGCATTGCGTTTTATCTCTAGATGCAGTCTTCGATGTTCCGTTTTTTAATTCCTTTTTAATTACAGCTTGCGAATTCTTGGACACGCGATTTGCGACAATGTCTTTCATCGATGTCTTTGAATTTCCTACAGAAGTCGATGCCAAAGAATTTCCCGCGTGTGATCTCGCAAGGCTTTTATCGGTGCTCTTCGATAGATTCTTAAAGATATTCGTTTCTCTCGCGGATGCGCGCTGAGATCTCCTTGCACTTTTCAGATTTGTCGTGAAGGATCGATTATTCTTCGACAATTTGTCGTTAAGATTCAATTGCGCAGCTGACTTTTGCACTCTGTCATTCTTGGAGGAGGACGACGTGAAATTCGAAATCACGGGGAACGTGAAGAGAGATGGAAAACGTATCGATGCGGACGTATCGCGGGATAAATCCTGATGTCTGACATGTCTGGATGAGTTGCTCGTCGCTCGTGGTACCAAATGTCGTAATTCCGCTTGTAGCTTCTCGACCTCGTCGAGACGCACCAGGATATCGTCGATACTATCTTTGGCCATTTTGGAATTTTGATGGTATACAATTACATCTTGAATGTTAATTTTATTGGATGTTGTTTCTCTGGAAAATTTAGTTCTTTCACAAAATAAGGTTGAACGATCTTCAACGTGAAGATCATCCACGTTTTTGACATTAAGCGATGCGATGTTTTGTTGGCGAGACATGTCGATTAGTAATTTCTGTTTCGATATTAACAGTTTTGGAGAAAAAATATACATAAAAAAGCGCAATTTAAAAATTCTCTTAATTTACATTATTTTATTATATTTACTGTAATGTATAATTTCAAAGAAAATAAATAAACTTTGTAACAGAATCAATCAGCATCGATCAACATTAATTGTAAGATTTTCGTAAATAATAATGAAACGTAATATATAAAATAACATATTTACATCTACATATATGAATAAATATATACGCATATATGAAATATAATACAAATTACGTTGCATTACAACGCTCGCGTGTTTCTCTCTTTCTCTCTATAGCATTTTATATATCAGACATGTTACATATACAGATTTTACAACAGTTTGTAGAAAATTTGAGTATCTTATAAATATTTGTAAGCAATTCTAAATTATTTTTGACTGTTACTTATTCATATTTTTATTGCGGATATATATCTTACTGACTTCTTCAACGTTTTCATTACCTTGATAACTTTATACAGCTTTAAATATAATCTCAAGATACTTTAACGTTTATTAAACACTCTTAGACATATCCTTCTGTTTCAACCAATATTCTTTAATCATGTCAGCACCTTTCTCGGCGATCATGATTGTTGGCGCGTTTGTGTTTCCGCTCACAATATTCGGCATTATCGACGCATCGATCACGCGAAGTCCAGCTACACCGTAGACCCTGAGCTGTGGGTCGACAACGGCCTCGGGATCCGAATAAGGTCCCATTTTGCAGGTGCCAACAGGGTGATAAATTGTTACGCTGTAATACCTGATCATGCATTCCCAATATTCATCCGTAAACATAGCAATGTGTTTACATCCTGGAAATTGCTGCGAGTTTAATTCGCTTCCGAAACGTTTGAAAGCTTTGGTCCTACTCAGGGCGACGCTGATCTTCACTCCTTCGACTAATGTCGCCATGTCTTCCGGTTCCTTGAAATAATTTGGATAAATCAGGGGATGATCAAATGGATTCTTGCTACGTAGTTTGATCATGCCGCGACTCTTTGGTCGCAACAACATAGGAATCACGCTCCACGTATCTTTGTCGCTTATAGGCCCGAAAACCGTGTCATAAAATTTCTTTGTTAATCCATGAATCTTTCTGATTTGCACACCGCTATCCGAATTAGTCGAGCCAGAGACGAAATGCAGCTCGATATCGGGAAAGTTCAACGAGGCGTTCGTGTACTTGGTGTTAACAAAAGCGACGCCTTCAACACCTCCCAAAACAGTGAGAGGTCCGTCACCCAGTACAGCGTATTGCATTGCTGTCTGTATATTTTGCAACCGATTTTGTATTATCGAAATTTCTTGGTTGATCAGGAACGCAAGGCCGCCTAATCCAATGTGATCTTGAAGATTATGGCCGACCTGGAAGTGCAGGAATTTTGCAATAAATAAAATAAAAATTTCTAGAAAAATTTGAAGGAAAATTTTTAATATCATTTAATAAACCAACCCTGCTATCTTGAATTACAGGAATCCCGAGCTCCTGCAAATGTTCCTTTGGGCCGATTCCAGATAGCATCAAAAGTTGCGGCGAATTGACAGCGCCTGACGACAAGATGACCTCCTTATTCGCGCGTATACGAAAAATTTTCCCGTCTCGGACAAATTCCACTCCATAAGTACGTTTGCTTTCGGGATGCACCAGCACTTTGGTCACGTGCGTGTGCATCGCGACGTGTAAATTTTTCCTGAGTCTAGCCGGTCTAAGGAACGCTTTTGCACTTGAACAGCGACTACCACGTCTGATGGTGCCTTGAGCTATCATAAAGCCGGTCTGATACTTTCCATTAATATCTCGATTTTCGTAGCCCATCTCCTGTCCGGCTTGCACAAATGCTGCCGCCAGAGGTGTGTGCCATGGTGCTTCTTGCACTGTTAAGTGTCCACCACTCGCGTGATACGGAGTGCGAATCAAATAAGGATTCTTGTTGTCCTCGGATTTTTTAAAATACGACAAAACGTCGCGCGAACCCCAGCCAGTACAGCCTTGCTGCTCCCAAATGTCATAGTCCCGCCAATTTCCTCGAATGTAGAGCATGTAATTGAGCACGGATGAGCCGCCAATTACTTTTCCTCTCGGCCAATTGCAACGATAATTTTCCATTGCTAGAAATATTTTATTAAATACAGAAGAAGAGAAAAAGAGAAAGAGATATTTTCGAAATTAAAAAAAAAAAGAATAATGAAAGATGAAAGTTACCTAAACAGGCATCGCCCTGTGGTTCGGTTTTTATATTGCCAATCAAGCTGGGTCAGCTGCAAATATCCAGCAAGTAACGGCACATCAGAGATCTCAGTTTCGTCCCCGCCCGCTTCCAGCAATAATACATTCCAATCGCTAATTTCAGATAGACGGCTCGCAACCACAGCTCCTGAAGGGAAACACGAAGATCACAAGAAAGGAGGAACAATATCTTTGATATTGTTTGTTAATAAAAATTTTGTTATGAACGTACCTGCACTACCACCACCAACCACTATGAAATGATACGTAGGCAGTAAAACTTCCGATGGCATGTCGATTGGCGACGCTTCATTATCTAAAGCTTCGTATTGGAAGTAGACAAGCGCTGCAGCAAGAATCGGAAAGAACCATGACAGCCCGCTGGTGGCTGAAGTCAAACCTCCTGTTAAAATGCTTTCGACACCCATTTTATTTTATTTTACCGTGAAATTTTTGTCCTAGTGCACTGAACTAGTGAACTGGAATTTAAAATTCTACAACACATATAAGCAAATATTTATTTCCATTACAGTGGAGCCCGGAATAAGTTTATCTCGGATAACTTTGATACTTCTTCACATGTACTTTCACCAACACTAATCTCGTGTCTCTTCCATGTCATAACGGACAGATCATGACGTAGACCAACTCATTGTACTGCTGAAATGAAACTGATAGCTGCGTAACCACCACATTAGAAATTGACGAAGAGCCAACTCACCTGGCTCAGTCTGAACGATCTCGATGCGAAATGAATATCAATTACTCGTGAAACTTTCAACTGTTAAATAATTTTAAACTAACTTTGGCGTGCATATGACAATTGTGTTAAACAAATTGCATTCACACAAACACTCTCTTTTTTATTTAAATTTCAAAGAGAGAGGCACACATAAAACTCTTTCAAATCCTTCTGTTAGCTACTGCAGTTAGTATATTAAAATTTAGTTTACAAAAGATCCACTGTTATTAAAATTGTATACGGAATTGCCATTGATCAAAAATACAATCAGTAATTTCATAATATTTTTAAATTTAATGACTCTGATATTTCATCCAATGATTGATATGCATTAGGTAATACTTCTTATTTATTTAAATAGTATTTAGAAACAATTAAGATGCAGTTAGATATATTTTATAAACATTTCGTAGACTCTTTGGCACTTCATCCTTTAAGCAATTGCTCGGTAGAGTTTTATATTATAGAAAAATTATAATTTTATTTAACAAATAATCGACAATAATAACAGATGTTTGATAATAATTTTTTAATTATATAGATCACAATGCTTTACGATGAATTTAGACTTTATATTATATTTTAAAAGTGTATAAAGTATTTTGAAAGTTTTTATAAATACTGCATGTTTATTTGAAAAATTTAATTTGTTTTGAGACGTTGATATATAAGAACATACGTGATTTTTATTGTAAATTGTTGCATTTATTGTATATACTAAAAGTTTATTTAAATCAGAGAGGCATTATTAACATGTAAATAAAGATAAAATGACATCATTTCTCTTAAGAGTAAAGTATCAGATTTGGGTTGCTGACACGAACTGAACGATTTAAAAAGGAAAACTGGTTTACTTGCTCCCTGAAAAACAGTTATTCTATAATAACTATATAATCGTTGTTTATAAATTAATTTTGTTTAGAAATATCTGATAGTGAAAAATTTACAAATTATTACAACTTTTTAAATCTACATTTTAAAATTACAATTATTATTATAAATGATTACGTATATGTGTGTGTATAATTTATATGTGTAATTTATGTGTATATATATATATATATATATATATATATATATATATATATTACACATTTTATATATATAAATAAAATTAATTATAATTGACATGCATATGATTTTTTAAATTATTAATTTGCGTTTTTATAGCTGTCTTCCAATAATCAATAATTTTTGTGGAAGCAAAAAAAATTTTAATATAAGTTTAAAATAAAAATGTTTGGATCGAATTAAATATATCGTTCCTATAAAAATGTTTATTAAATGGGAAAATCATTACAAAGTAAAATTGATAATGTTTGCATTTTAATTAAACTATAGAAATTAAGACATACTAAAAAGATTATAAAAATGTAATATTATTTTAATAAACATGGTATGTTAGCTTATATACTTGAAAGAATCGTGTGAAATATAATGCAAAATGCTAAACATCACACGTACACACATAAACAAGTATACACATATCCGTATTTTCTAATAATTATCTCTCTGCCTACCTTTTTTCTGTCCTCATTTAAACTATGTCAAGATTAATCTGCTCTTTTTATTTTTATTTTAAGCCCCAGTGTAAATCTAACGATAACATCGCGATCACTGTACTTGTTACACTATCAACATATTCTGTACAAAATTTTAATGAACAAAAATGTAGTTGTTTGAAAGCAAAAATAATTTTTCCATTATATAATTGTATTAAAATAAATTACGTAATTTTTTGCGAGATAATATCGATGAATATGGAACTTATTAACGATAAACAACAAAACGTCTGAATCATATAACACGAAGAAAGGAGTAACACTGACCATGACTTTGCTTCAGCCTTGACTACTCTCCTGTACTTCATTGCGAATGGTATATAGCCGTATACCGTATATATACAGACAGGTTTCCTCTTCCATAGATGCATAACGGTCATCGACTCACCTCTCGCTTCCTCTTTTGATTTTTTTTCTTTGTCCAATGTATACCGATCTTCCTCTTCATTGCTTTCTTGCACACGTGTGTGTATGTGTGTATGTGTGATTCGTATGTGTGTGTGTATGTGTGTGCGTGGTCCCGTTTTCCATTGCTGGTACCCGCCCGTCTTTTTCGAGTACTATAGCTTTAGTACGTGTAAAATAACACGTACACAAAATATTGGAATGTAAACGCTTAGTTATAGCAATAAAATAAATCGAAAAAATTAATAGTTATACTTTTGTCGACAAATTTCTTTTCTCGTAAAATTCCTTCAATTTTCTTGAGATTTTTTTGCTGTAAGCAATGTATGGCAGGAGATATATATGTATATATATATGTGTATACATGCAAATTCTTTTTTTTTTCAAAAATAATCTCCTGCCATACATTGCTTACAGCAAAAAAATCTCAAGAAAATTGAAGGAATTTTACGAGAAAAGAAATTTGTTGACAAAAGTATATATAACTACTAATTTTTCGATTTATTTTATTATATATATGTATATATATGTGTATAAGTATTTTTTTCTTCTTAGTTTAAGATAATAAATGAAATATAGTCGCGACTATATATACAGTTACATATGAGATCAGGACACGTCTTTTTAAATATTTGTTATTATCAAATTGAGGACTATTTCAAGAACGTATTCCCATATTTTACAGCTCGCTCTTTCATTTTTTAATTAGTTTCAGTCATTTAAAGCGATAATTAGTTTTTCCAAATTTTAGGAGCCAATGTGCGAATCATTATGTTAGGTATATTGACACGTCATTTTTCAATATTTTTTATTCTCAAACTGAGGACCATTCAAAGAACGTATTCCCATATTTTGACATGTTTTTCAAATATTTTTTTCAAAAATTGATAACAGTTTGCTAATAACCATATAAATGGTCACGACCATGTGTTGTTTTATGTGTAGTAAATATTAAGTAAACTTGGCATTCTTGATAGATTTTTTAAATTTTGATCAAAATTTGTAAGAAACTAATCTTGTAACTCTATTAATGGATGACTCCATAGTCTTTTCTGTCGAGCCTCTAAATTAATATAATATCTAATATGTATGTAAGTATATTTATTATTTAACTTTATTTATATATTTTTATTATAAAAATATAATAACCTCTATTAATCTAGACACAAACATACATTTATAATAATTGATTCTTTTATTGGTATTATTTATTTATTTAAATATTGCATAATAAGATGTCAAAATAGCTCATTTATTCATATTGCAATACATCTTCTAAACATTATTTATTTTAGAATACAGATATTAACATTGACACTATTATCTCCGCTGTAGCTGAATTGAATGATAGAATCTTGCAATTACAAAAAGAAATTATTACATTTAGAAATAAAAATGGAGATTATTTAACTGTGGCGTGTAACTTATCGAGGTAATAAGTAAGAAATTAACTTTCTTGCTCACAAATTTTTTTATAAATTGTATATATATATATATATATATATATATATATAAGCATGTAAATAAGTATATATAAAATATATATAATATTAGTATAATTGATATAAAATATAAATTAATATAAAAATACTAGATATACTTGCGCATAACTTGTAAATATTTTTGAATTTGAGATAGATTCGGTCTGTATAAGATCAGCTTCATAAATTTATTGAAGACTCAATTTCTAAAATATCATTCGTTATAAGTTTTATCATTAAAGTGTGATTTATTTTTTCCGCAAAATTTACAGAATTTAACACATTATCGAGGCAAACTACAATTTATAATTTATATTTTTGTGTGCTTGTGCTTTATTATCGATTAACGATTTTCATTCATGAATTTTGATTTTCTAGTTTGACACCATCGGAATTTAATGATTCGACGAAAAACGTGGGAAAACGAACGTGTGCACAGTACGAGCTGCAAAGAAATTTTAAAGGAGACGATTCGCCAGGCGTCACTGATTTATCCGCTCGTTTATCATTCACGAAACGTGCGCTGGAAGTAAAAGCGCCGAACGAGGCGGTCGTATTTAAAGAGGATTATCCGCGTGACGATAAATCAATCGAAGATGATGAACGGCCAAATAGATCGCGCGTGTCTGAAGCGTCGGGAATGTATCGGAAGTCCATTTCGGATGCTGAAAAATTCGGAAAAGAAATCAGCGAGAGATTGGGAAACATAAATGATGTCGAAGATATAAAAATTTCATGTGATGCCGATGAAAAATTGAGGGGGTCCAACAATAAGTACCAAAATAAAGCCATTAATGATAGTATATTGTATTGCGATTATAATAATCCTCGGAATGTTATCGCATCAAAAATTAAGAAAAAAAAATTTCCAGAGGTGTACAATATACCCTAATCGGATGTCAAAATAACGACAGACGATTTCTTCTGAGCTGCTTCGGGTCGAAATCAAGTACAAAGAAGTATAATTGTACACAAAAAGTAAAAAACAAAGAAATTTTAACGAATAAAAAAAATTTTATGTCGGATCACAAAACGAAGTAAACGAATCATTATTAAATGCGACGACAATTAGTAACGAATCTCATAATGTAAAATTGAGTAATACAGTGAAAAGAGAAAAATTTAAACCTGCTATAAAGAAAATAAAAAGAATTATTTATGAACATGGAATAGATGACGATGAAAAACTAAAAAAATATAACAACTCGAAAAATCGTAAGGTGAAGATAAATCCTTTTTCAAAATTGTGGCCCAGTAATGCCTTAACGCGTAAAAATAATCTAAAAATGCAACAGAACAAAATGCCACATAATTTTAATATCATTGACGATTCTGAAAATAATAAAGAAGAGACGGCTGAATTCAATTTCAAAAATAATCGAATGAATGGCGCTCGCAAATGCGAGAGTATGACGTATGACTCGCGAGATGAATGGAATATAAATATTTTAGATCGTAAGATAAATTCGAATGCACGGGAAAGCGCAATTATCAATTCTAATGGAGAAAGTATCGCGAATAAGGTGAAAGAAAGATTAGATTCGTGCATCATCGAATTGAACGAAATTATCGACGATGCTTACGTAGCATTTGACAGCGGAAAAAACGTAGCGAGAAGAACAGCTGATCAAGTGTAAGCGGTAACCCTCTTTGGTAAACATGCGCATCTTATTTAGGGAAAGCTACGGAAATGAGAAAGAGACGATTTACGTAAAGTCAGAAGGTAAAAATCTCTTAAAACATTCAAGAAAATTATCTTTGAAAATTATTTATCGATTCTTAGCCGCGTATTAATCTGCGTAACACCTGTTGGTTAGATGGTTCTGGCGTCAACGAGATGAGATTTGATTCGACCGAAACTCAACCCATATATTCCCGGATGGTATCTATCGTTAAAGAAATATTTTTGCCACAAGGATACCCAGATAGTGTGCATTCCGATTACACAGCATATCAGATATGGGACACGGTGCAAGTTAGTTTAAACTAAATGAATTATTGACATATGTTTCGCTGTGCTAATACAGTGACTAAATTTTGTCTTGAAGAAGTCTATAAAAAAACTTTTTTTTTTGACATTATTCAACACGGGATGCAGACAATGATTTACAATGACTACATTTATATTTTCCAGGCCTCTGCGAGTACTATAATGAATACACTTGCGACCCATTCTATAATGATAGGAATAGGAGTTGGAGAGTCAAACGCTACACCTTTGGCAGCAGCAATAACATGGATTTTGAAAAGTGGTGCAGGGATGGTCGGCAGTATAACGTTTGCATGGTGGAATGGGTAATAAATAGATTCATGATTTGTATTTTTATCATACATTTATAATTAAAATTTCATGTCAAGGTTTAATTGAAATGTATTTCTTTTTCATTATAGAACCAAATTAGATGGGCAGTGTAAAAAATGGAGGCTATTTGCTGATATTCTGAATGACATGGCAGCAGGAATGGAATTACTTGTGTCATATTTCTCATCGTACTCCGTTGTAATTCTGTGTATCTCCACCATTATGAAGTCTCTTGTCGGTGTTGCTGGTGGAGCTACGAGAGTAGCACTGACTCAACACCAGGTGAATAATTGTTAATACAAACACATTATAGTTTTAATACTAATATTACTTTTCTATTGTAGGCAATACGAAATAATCTGGCTGATGTTGCTGCAAAAGATGGGAGTCAAGAGATGTGTGTAAATCTAATTGCATCATTCATTGGAATCTTTATATTATCTTTATTCCATGATGGACGGTATGTATTTAATATATTTTCATGTTTACTATTATATTATATTATGAATGCTATCAATAATGATAAAGTCATATATATATATATATATATATAGATACTTAATAGAATTGTATCTCTTCCTGGTGGCAGTCCATCTTTATGCAAATTATTCGGCGGTTAAAGTATTGTGTTTAGATACACTCAATGAAGATCGTCTGGCTTTAAACATTAAAAGCTATATGATAAACGAGCGAATTCCTGAACCAAAAATAGTGAATAAAGAAGAATCTGTATTTCTACTTGATAATCCTGGTAAGACACTATTATGATTGCCACTTTTACTATATATAAGAAATTATAACTAATTATAAATATCATTTTCAGCCAAAAGTATATGCGGATTTGATATCAAAATTGGTGTTTCATTTGCAAGTATTCTGAAAAGAAATGTAATTTCATCTATGGAAATGGAATTTTTGTTGAAATTCTTTGAGGATAGAAAATATTTAATAACGATAGATATAGAAGAAAGGAATATATTTATAATTCTTAAAAAGAATATACAACCTGTTGAAGTACTAGAAGCATACTTTTATGCTTCAATGTGTGGATTTTACATTTGTATGGCAAAAAAAATCCCAATTGTAAGTAGCAAAAAATTTTTTTACATCTTTCATTATTTAAATATAATATTGTACTTTATATTATACTATAAATATTTTAATAATTACAGGATATATTGCTGAGATCTGAAACATCCGAACCATCATATCCAATGTTGAATATATATATTCTTTATAAAAATTTATGGATTCAAATAGTAATGTACAATTATCGATAGCTATCCAGAGTGTCTGTGCTACAGATTTAATTGTCTCTAACGAGTATAAAACATTCCTTAGGAATTTGGATATAAATGGTATGTATATAGTTGTTTTAATTTCATAATTAATTAGTTGCATTTATTTATTTGCTATTATAAGAGCACAGATATACATAACCGTTAATAATTTTAGGATGGAAAACAAAAACAAATTTATTGGCAGTTGGTGAATGGAGATTTTCCGTTGATAGAGAATGTAAATAAAAACTTATTAGATAATTTAAATAATTATAAATTATTAAAAACAGTGTTCTTTATATTAAAATATTTCTTTTATACAATATTGCAATAAGAAAATAATATGATATGACAAGAATAAAGTCACTTTAGGAAATATAGATAAGGAAATTGATTTTATTTCCAACAATTTATAAAAATATAACATGCCTTTTATTGCTGTACAAAATGATATAGATGACTCAAACTAAGATTCCTCTGATCTAGGTCCAGTCTGTGATAAATGTTTTACTATATCCACCCAATTCCATCCTCGTGGTTTTTCACCTTTGCCATCTGCTTTATTCCATTGTCTACGCTTTTGTGCTTTACTTAAATGTTCCTTCTTAACTTTTTTTACCGTTTCCTCAACCTTAAAAACATCACATATCATCTTATTCTATTTTAATTCATTCTTTCTAATAACAGCATACTAATATGTTGTGTAATATATTTATATACCTGTTGGTTCTCTTCCGTAATCTTCAATCTACTAGTTTGCGAATTTATATCAATGGTTGCGTCTGGTTGCATAGACACTAAGTCTGTATAATGCTCTTGAACAGACTGAAATAATGTATACGTCATAGCACTACCTAACCATTGCTCAGCCTCTGCCTCTATGTGACTCATCACCTTGTCCTTTACTTCTTCCACACTGTATATTCCAATTATTCATCTTTAATCAAAGTAATTGAATGTAAGAATAATCGAGTAGCTGCTTGGCTGCACTTACATATGTTTATTGTAAAATGTGTCCATATTGATAGTTGGTTTCTGCGTAGGATATGTTGTACCCCATGATATTTCCAGTAGAAATGATTTCATATCGTTATCCTCGCCATACTGTGTAACAAAATTATTGTTGTTGTATGAATAGTCTATATATAATAACATTTATTATGGCGAAATTAGTTTAATACATATGTATTCCATTTAAATATAGAGTATGACTTGATTTTATGCTTGCTTCATTTTAATTACAGAAAATCAGCAATTTTAAACAGTATACATATGTATTATATTTAAGTATAACTAGAATACATATGTATATTGTTTAAAAGGTTTATTTTCTGTAATTAAAATGAAGCATACAACCAAGTCAAATGAAGAAAAAGGAATGATGAGATATTGCTAAATGTGTGTTGAAAACAACCGCTGCAAAAGATAGAACTTGTTTTATATTCATCTTTTCATGCTAAGTGTTTTCTCTAAGGACATAAAAATATTTAATCATAACAAAATTATCGGAAAGGAAATTGCACAAGAATGATTTGCACCTTGTATTGAAATGTTGTAGGTGTCAGCTGTTTAAAAGCCGCATCGCCGTCGTAAATCGAGAGCAATACTTCTCTTTCCTCCTCCTGGAGTTCGGCATCGCTCATCGCCCTTTCCTTTCGAACTAGATAATCAACAATCAACGTTGAAGAATTGTGAGTATATATTATTGCGCGATCACATGCGAATTTTAGGTTGAAAAATTTTACAATTTGGTTTTAAGTAAAGCACCGCCAGATGGCACGTAATCCGCTATTTATCGACGCTTACTTCATATTCGTGCTGCTAGATGTCACTGCGTGCATCAATAATTGAGCGCGTACATTTTCTTAGATTCCCGCCAGAATGTTTTGCGGACATACACGCATCGCACATCAAGTATCTCAAATGTATCAATTTTACCTCGTATCGGATAATAGAATTTACACAAAAGCATCACCAAAGTTTGCACTCGCGCAATTAAACGAGATATTGTTGAAGTTTCATGCAAATCGCGAATTTCTATACACATTTCAAGCGATTTCACAATTTTAATAGCGCAAAGCAGGTAAGTACAAGTACATTTATTCCATTGATTAACACAACTCCCCGAAAATTAATTCAATAAAATGGATGAAAAGAATTAAAAGTTACGGAAACATGCAATATGTTTTACATATAAAATATAAGCTATTTATTTGTATTCCAAATATATTGCATTATTTATAAATGCAAATAAGTTATGTATATTGTATAACCACGATGTATGAAATAATAATATAAATATATTAACACATTTTTGAGGAAATAATATATAATATATAATTTATCTAGTACTTTATTAATGAAACACATTGCGATTATTTCTTATAGTTAATGCGAGCTGATCAGGACGAATAAGTGATCCCTCTTGGATAGAAAAAGGATCTTAATAATATAAATATAAATATAATAATATAAATATATTAACACATTTTTGAGGAAATAATTATATAATTTATCTAGTACTTTATTAATGAAACACATTGCAATTATTTCTTATAGTTAATGCGAGCTGATCAGGACGAATAAGTGATCCCTCTTGCATAGAAAAAAGGATCTTAATGGACGACAAAATTGGTAAAGGAGCAAATCTCGTCCCCGATTGCAGAAACGCAGACCCTTTCCATTGGCATAAATTAAAGGATTGCCGGACGACGACGGCTAGATATGTGCAAGGTAAGTTATTTCCCGCAAAATTTAATCGCGCGAGTTATATACATATATATACATATGTATATATATATAAGAGAAGAGAACCGCGTTCGTCGAAGTCGCGTTCTCAGAGTTATATGTACTATTTAAACGGGAGATGTACGATCACTTTTCGCGTTTCCGATGTCCGGTCGTGGCGCATCCGACAAAAATGGACAAGTAGGAGTAGCCACCCTCCGCGTTTGGCCATATGCCATCCCGGTAAATACTGCCGTATCATAACGCGAGTCGGAGAAATGAAGCGAAAAGCGGATAGTGGACCGATGAGAGAGGCGGTGGACAAACGAAAGGTACGTACACGATGTCGCGGATTAATGCGACTTTCCATTCGTCTCTCGAGCTCTATTCTCCGGATCTTCACGGAAAAAAAATTAGCCACCGTAGGTAAATTTTTAGCTGTCCCTATATTACAATCTGAAATTTATCATGTCTATAAATTTTAGTTATGATAACTAATATTTTTTAGCTATAAAAATTGATGCATAAGATATTATTAACAAATCTTTAAAACGTCTTTAAGAAATCTTATGATATCCAAAAGACATGTTAAAAACATCTTAAAGATGTCTTTATTGCACCAATTTTGGATATGGTGCTGTCTGGGATAGTTGAACAGAAAATTCTATAGCTAAAAAATATTAGCTATCATATAGCTAAACTTTAGGAAAAAAATTAGCCACCGTAGCTAAATTTTTAGCTGTCCCTATATTACAATTTGAAATTTATCATGTCTATAAATTTTAGCTATAACTAATATTTTTTAGCTATAAAAATTGGTGCATAAGATATTATTAACAAATCTTTAAAATGTCTTTAAGAAATTTTATGATATCCAAAAGACATGTTAAAAACATCTTAAAGATGTCTTTATTGCACCAATTTTTGATATAATACTGTTTGGGATAGTTGAACAGAAAATTCTATAGCTAAAATATTAACTATTATATAGCTAAACTTTAGGCATAATAACTAAATTTCATGTATAATATAGAGACTAAAATTTAGCTATAGTAGCTATTTTTTTTTCATGTTCTCCCGTATAATTTCTGTTGGCGCGTCGTAAAGATGACGATATTGCCATTTTAATTATGTCTCATTCGAACTACTTAATATTTTTTATTTTTACTTATCTGACATTTTTAAAAATGGAAAAAGTTATTTATGCAGTTCCAATATGTTTTTTGCTGTATAAATTATGTGATAATGTGCACACATATATATAAGCTTTTGTTATAAAAATTAGCAACTTCCTGCTGCTGTTAGAATTTTGAGAGATTGCCCTGATTTATTCAGTATTGAAAAGTGATTATATATACATATATTATAATAATTTATCTTATTTATTTTAAGACAGTCTTTTACATTTTATGCTGACAGAGAAAGAGAAAGAAAGAGAAGATCCATTTCAATTTATTTTTCTTCATTACATATAAACATATATTTGGATTATTTGTATAGTTTTCATTAAATAATCGTGTTTCATTAAATAATTAACTGGGATCTACCTCTTGATATTTTAATCAACGTTTTATTCTCGTATTACGCGCGATCCAAATATTAAATATTTATTTATAAAATTTACACTTAACTATGTTTATTAATGTTGTATTTACATTTTTATTTTGGGAAAAAATAAATGCATACTCATTAAAAATATAGAAAATTATATATTAAACATTATACATATAATATATAAAAGTAGATTTCTCCCTAAATAATAGATCTGAAAACAACATTTTTACTTGAGAAATTTCTGTTTTGACCTAATCTTATTTATTAAAATTAGTACAAAACTTTTCTCTATACTACATATTATTAAAGATCCGTTAATAAATACAGGTAATTGCATTTATCCAATTATTTTACAATCCTTGATAATGTATTTTATTATCAATTGTTTTAATTTTAATTTAATTTAATTATTCGCAACTGTATACGGAGCATAAAATTACAACGTTACATAAGTATGACTTGCTATTATTATATTATCGAAATATTATAATTCACGTAATATATTGTTGAATTTTAATGCACGCAACAAGCTCATAAGCCACTTGTCACATTCCATTTTCCACAAAGCGAATTCGGTCCTAATAAAATGTGCGAGTAATTACGTGGTAATTAATAATTATGTCGGCTGGCTGTCAATATTTATGAACGTACGCGCTCAGAAGTTTATTATATCGCAGCTGATGTGTTTCTCTTGCAGCAGCATTTTGACGGGCGTAACAATGCCGACGTCATGTGGTATCAAAACGTCTATTAAATCCGCTACACTAGAAATCCATTATGGAAAATTGCGATAGTAAATGGTTAGAGACAAATTTAATATGTGTATGTGTGTGTCATGTGTATTCATTTTCTATATATATTATTTCTATTATTTCATTCACCATTTCTCCATTGTTATATGACTATACAGCACGATATTTAACAGTTATAGCTCTACATATATTCTTAATATATTTTATATTTATTGCTATATTTTTTTATTTTGACAATTGACGTGACAAAGATTATTGTAATATTATTCTCTATTGAAAATTTCAAAGTTGCGTGACATATTTGTGCGAGCATTTGTTTATCGTCGTATATCCAATCTCGCGAATTTTCTTTCCAATTATTTCACATCTCGATATACATCTTTAATTCTACCTTAAAGATTTAAAGTATTTTAAGACGCTGCCCTATATAGGGTGTAGCTAAATAAGTGCAAAAAATTTTAGAAGATGATTCTTTCTCGAAAATTAAAGGGGACTTCTTATATTCTCCAAGTTTCATTTTTTAAATTTGTCTGAAATATTTCAGAAAAAAAAATAAATTTAATTTTTACTTCTTTATTTATAAAAGTGTAACTCCTCAGAAGGGTAAGAAACCCCCCTTAATTTTCGACAAAGAATCATTCCTAAAATTTTTCGCACTTATTTAGATAGAAAAAGGGCGCGTCTGAATTTTCCTATTCCAATCTAACGAATATCCCTCGTGTATGTGCGTTCCCTCGTACACGATCTCTCTACTTTTGCATAAAAACAACGAGATCTCGATTTCTCGATCGATCGACCGACCAAGCGACGCGTAGAGTCCCGATCATCATCAGCTGTTCCGGTTTTCTTCAACATCTATATGCTATATCGCGCGCGGCTTTCGTTCGAAATGCCGGGTGTATATCTGAAAGGACGGACTCTGCAGGCGCCGTATCGTCGCGAGCGCATCGATCAGAAAGAATATTGCCGTGTGCTGCCAGTGATTCAGAGTAGCAGTACTTTCCTCGATAAGTGCCGAGCTTAAAGCTCGCCGCACACCGACGACTTACGATACGGGAATATAGCTCGCGAGATAAGCACGAGATATTACCCACGTTAGGCGATTCCTCCGTTCTGGATATTTGTATTCATAGTGAGAATCCGAAATTTCGAATATTTGCGTCCTCTTAAATTTGCGGGATTTTCAATGGTGTTCGAGAAGAATACCGTCATTTCGTACAAGGAAATACAATTTAATATGAATTTACAACAATTAATATAATTTGTAACAGCTCTTTAAAAAATTTTAATCTACAAATAAAAAGGCAATAAGAGCTAATTAAGTTCTATACTAAAAATTTATTTGTGAAAAGATTTATAACATAAAATACTAAATAATAGACAGAAATAAATTCGTTCAGTTAGTTGGAGCATCGTTCTGAAAGTTTCGAACGAATTTATTTCTGTCTATTATTTAATATTTTATGTTATAAATCTTTTCACAAATAAATTTTTAGTATAGAACTTAATTAGCTCTTATTACCTTTTTATTTGTAGATTACAACAATTATTCATGTACTCGATTTTCTTTAATTTTTTTATTAAAAATTGTATTTCTATATTTTCGGTTTTGCGCACGTTTGTCATTTTCAAAAATTTTGTGTTAAGTTTGATCTCTAGAATAGGGGTGCGGAGATTCAATGAAATTAAATTCACGCTAAAATGAGAATAATTTATTATATTAAAAGGTGTTGCCAAGGTTCCGTTGTACCGGAAAAAAATTATAGCAAAGAATTTTCGTGCATCTATTTAACATAATGCCAAGTTAATCTACGCGGAATTATGCGATTTAAATGACTTTGAAATATATTCAACGTTTGTAGCTTGTTTAGGTCTTACTTGGCGGTGTTTTATATAAAATATTTCAGCGAGGTAACCGAAACTAACCGCGACCCAATTTCGCAGAAGCTTAAATATGATTTCGTTTCGTTGCCAGAGAATTCTAAAGAGCGTGTCTCTCTGACCTTCTTTCGCTTTAATTTGAAATTCCTTTGAAGTTCATCATCTTTGAAATCCCGTACGCACTGGAATGAAACCAGTGCTATACGATGTGCGACATCTTTAATCTTTAACTATCCCGCGGCGTCATATGGCACTGTTAAACTTTGCCATATTTCGTCTTGATAAATTCGCTAAATGGGTAGACATTAGAGGTATGTAATTTAGATATACTACCCTACGCTATCTAATTCGCCATTATTACGTATATATCTTACTTTGTATAGTAAGTAAATATCACAAGAAAATTATACAGAGAATTTTTAATTACTTTCTCCTAATATATATAATATATATATTTTTTTTTATAATAAGCACATAGAAGCCAAATAAAGTCTCATTGCTGTCCCTTTAAAATTTTCATCACAATCTAATATTCAATGATAATTAATTTATGTCAATTCTGATAATTTAAATAAGCTCATTCAAACTAGATACGATAACAAAAGTATTTAAAAAATCTGTGATTTTTTAGAGAAAGAGTATATTAAATTATATTAAATTAAAGTATTAATAAGTATTTAAATAATATAAGATATAATCCAAATACACATATTATTTAAGAAAAATGGACAAAGAATAAAAATAATTTTTTTATTTCAAGCTGAATGAAACATTATTGAGAAAAATCTTGGCAACATTATAAAAATGTGATCGTTGAATAAAAAAAGTCGCATCGAGATAGATTTTTCTTCTTCGTGTTACGACGGATCGTACACCTTCAGAAACGTCTCGATAGAATTCCGTGAAATTTTCAGTTTTCCCCGGTCGCGAAAGGGTAAGTCCTAGGAGCCACGTAGATCGTGACCATCGTGGCTTTCGCTCCGCGGTGGCCTTAACCCTCTCCGGCCTTATCCCTCTTTGCGCGAGGTAACTCATGAAACATGGATCTGGAGTCGCCCTCGAAGAAGTTATACGAAAGAAGCCGACCGCCTGGCGCGCATCCTCGTCGTCGGCGATGATCACCGACGTGACTATGTGCGACGGAATTCCCCGTGTCTCTCCATTCGTTACTCGATCTCGTGCCGCGACAAGAAATCGTTTTCCTGGCGCTGGTGCATTCACGGAAATTAGCGCACTTCGCTGATGCATGGCTCTGTATTCGATGAAGGATGGTATATATCCTCTTGCGCGGACTTCGGGGGAAATTCAATGACAATAATGTAACACATATGTGCATAAATTATGTTAGTGCATGTGAGAAGAGTGAGAAAATTTATCATTTACAACTTAGCATTCTATACTATTTAACATTATTATTATTATTATTATTTTGACACCGTATTATTTACTAATGCTATTATATAATCGCAATTAATAATTTTAGATGATTGTTTAACATACGTATCTCAACATTACAACATATCTGTGTGAATTTATTGATGCATTCCATTATATTGTGAAAGGCTAAGTGTCCAATTAATGTGTTACCTTAATAAGTTTCTGAAGAATTGCTATTACATCATGCTATTGATTTTTATTCGAAACATACGTAATTTCTTCAGTCATTGTTTCTTCATCTTTTTTTTTAAATAAAACCCTTCGACGTAGTTACCTTCGGAAACGATTCGCGGCGCTCATCTAACTTCCGCTTTCGCGTACTCCATACGTTAATGACAGGTAGACAGAGAATGAAGCAAAGTGCTATCCGCAAACGCGCGGGAGCATAAAATCAGCGAGCCGACTTCCAACTATTGCGAGAAGCGTAGGAAGTTTCCAATTTCAGAATCGGAAATCCAATCGTTTCGTCGTGAAGTTCGGCTTTCTCTTTCTCTTTCTCTCTCTCTCACTCTCTCTCGCTGGAAGTTCTTTGTTCAGTCAATGAATTCTCGTTCGGTGCCGCGTGCATAGATCAATGGACACCTACTTCAGCGAGAGACGACGAGATTGCGAAAGTTATTCGCATCTTTGACATTCCGAAAACAACGACCTGGAACGTCGAACAGAACCAATTACAGAAGGTCTCTCATTTGGTCGATAAGAATCGATGTTGGGAAAACTTTCGAGCATGTGAAATAAATATTTATAAAATAATAATTTAATCGTATCGTCGCACGTTTTATATCCTTATTTCGCATTAATGAAGAGAAGAAAACTCCAAAATATAGTTTTCTAGATACTGAGTCATTTTGAAAGGACATTAAATAATATTTTATAACAAAGAAATTTTGATAATTAAATATTTTTAATTAACAAATGTATGATGTATTCAACAAACGATCCTGAGAACAGGGGAAATTTAGAGTTTATTAAGTACTTACCTAGTCTTTATAAATTGTGTCTGAACAGATGACAGAAAACGGATGATAAAAGTTATCCAGCATAATAAATTCTACTCATTGCTATAATTTTTCATAATAAAAAATTTGCACATGTTTTAAAATGTAAGAACAAATATTTAAAATTTATTTTTATTTGCTTTGTTTCTTATCGATACAATTAATCATATCATGACACTTCCTTGCCTAGATTGTTTTAAGCTTCTTTTTATCGTTAATAATTATTAATTGTCAATCTCTCTTCTCGTTCACTTCAAAATTTAGGAATTAAAAAGGATGTGGAAATGAATATTTCTAGAAAAAGATGTGTCTACTCAGTTTGACTTCAGGAGAAGTATACTTTGTGCAAGACTTTGAAATCAAGCTGAGACGATACCGAAGAAATAAAGAAGAGTAGAGTTCTGAAAAAAAATAGGAGAGGGAAAGATGAAGGAGAGAGAGAGGAAAAGGGGAAATTAATCGTAATCTCGATCAAAGCTCGATGAACCTCCATCTCATTATGAAATACTCGATACTCACGGGAGGTCGGCTTTCGTTTGAAACGGCTCTATCTTCATGCGAAGCAGGGCGACCAGATGGCTACGCGGCCATAAATGGATGATCTACGATCTCTTCACTCTCGTCTCGACATCACAATTAGCCTCATAAGTAGACGCAGTTGCGAGTTGAGAAGTCGTGCAAGGGTGTGAACAGATGCAGCTTCTCGTTTAAATAGAAATTTTGAATATATCGACGGCATAAATATCAAATGAATATTCATATACAAATAAAATAATCGTACAAATACATAAAAATAAATATAATGTACGTACATATCGAGAAAATAAGTATAAAATATATAAAATTATGCACAACGTGTATTATATTTAATTAATATATCATATACAGAGTAATATATTATAGGCATTACATATAAATTTTGATATAAATGCTATTGTGAATGCTTGATACACGATACATCTAAGGATAAAGTATAAGGATACGTTCGCCGTCATGTTGTGCTGGCTGACGATCGATATTGTTAATTCGCAGCACGATTTGAAGTTTAAAAGAGAAGAGCAACATTGTAACATTCTTATTGTCGTATAAAGTTGCCCGTTAAAGTTACTCGTATAAAATTGCTCTGTTTTGCGACGAGAGCTACGATGGTTGTTGAACGCGCGAGCAGATCGTTCAGGCATCTCGCGGCTCCCAGGATTACAAGTGAACCTGCGTTTTTTTTTCTTTTTTGCTATTAAGCTCCATGAGAGGCTTCGTACATGTTCGAGACTTCATTTCCCCAGATTTGTCAGACGAGCAAGATAGATAGACTTCACAGTACGCTTTTCTCTCATTTCGTGGTTTCGAGTTCTCTTCGCATTGGTCGTCCTACACGTGCGAATGTTTGCGTCATATTTGTTCATACTTCATAACTTATTGTGAAAATAATTTTCAATATATTTTTGCGTTAAATTCTTTTCTCTTCTTTTAATTAATGCGTAATGATGTGAAAATATTAATTAATTTTTAGCAAATGTATTTTCCACGATACTTTTTTAGGATGACAAATTATTTCAAGCAGGACATTCAGTTTATTGATCAGCTTGAATTAACATCAAATGATGCTAAATTGTTTAGTCAATTTTATATCGATTGTTGTAAAAGAGATTTTTTTTAAATTGAACATAATATTAAAATGAATATAAGATTTATTGTAATATCTAAATTCTCTAAAATAAAACTTTTAAAAAAATGTTGATTATATTTTCTCTACATGCATTACATTTATCTATTATATTTGTACGGTTAGTATAAGCTTATAAATATTTTACATTTTTACGATTATTCTGTAAATACTATAAATTTGGTGTATAAACATTAATTTTATATTTACACACACTCGACGCATTAAAAAGTTTTACTTCGGATAAACCTGTGTTGAATTGGTTTTAGCATTCGAAAATAT